ACTTCCTTAAAGCCTGCAGCATACTCACTATAGTATGCAATCTCATTCCCATTTGGGGACCCTCACACACTAGGTACAGCTCATGACCCGCTGCCCAGCTGCTTTTTGGTACTCAGGAGTGGTAGAGTAGCTGTGGCACTAGCCACAATTGGGACGAGCATGGGATGGAATGCTGGCATGAAAGGAGCCCTTCAGAAAGCGTTTTCTGTAACTGAAATCCTGCAAGGCAGCCTCTCTACTTTGTGTCCACCTGAACATGTTGCTCAGGGGGAGTTTCCTGCTTTGGCAATCAGAAAGCTGAAAGAGTCGCAGTCAGTGATTACAGGAGACGAACAACTGCTGTACTTGTAAAGTGGTGGTATACATGTTTTTTCCTGATTTGAGATGCTAACTTCATCTGGAAATTCTTGTTGAGATCCATGAGAGCAAAAAGTAGCATAGGATCCTTTATGCTGTATGAAAGGGCAGTTGCTGAGACAGTAACTTTGGGAAAACCACTATCTGGCCAAGAACATCTACATGCAGTTCAATATGGTTTGTGTTAATACACAACCACTATAAAACAAAGAAAGTATTTTAATAAGATGCATTTTTTACTTTAGACTTTGCTCTTACAGTTTATATCATTACTGTAATCCTGAATAAAAATGCTGCCTTATATGGTATTGCTGGATTTCACTTACTGAAGGTGGAGTTACTTTACTGACATCGAACTGAATTATGGGTATTTTCTAGTTATCTGTTTCAAATGATAATGGTCCAAGACATGCCATTTGGGATTGTCATAATACTACTTCTCAGGTGCAGAAATACGCTCTTTTTTTTAAGATCACTTCAGCAAGATTAATTATTTCTGCTGTACCACTATACCCTATTTCACTATGCCGTTACATTCATTTTCTAATACTGGTATTGAGAAGCTATGACTGAAACAGCCCTCAATATGTCCATGCTGTTCTGTAATGCAATAACCTGTGTAGATTTGAGAAACTCTGTGGGCTCTGTTGCATCCACCTGTAAGAGAAATGTAATCTTAGCAATGCAGAGCAAACTAATCATGTGTCCAAATCTTCCCTAACACCTTCTGCAATCAGTGGAAAGAATCCTGTTGATTTTTGCAGGCTTGTAGTCTAAAGCTCTGGGGAACGTTACTGTCCTCAATATTTCTTTGGCAGGTTTTGTTTGTGTTGAACAAATCAGAAGAGTGGAAGTGTATCTATGACTTAATCTGCCCCTTTTCACATCCTTGGGATGTTACTGCATGTATTCCTCTATTTCCCATTACATGCTGGATGTGCAGGATACTCATATAAACATGGCATTTGTTGCTGTAGTGGCACAAGAATTTGTACTGCTCAGAAGGTGGGAAACAATTTCAGCAGAGATCTTCAGAGGGGGCCTTATAATGGGGCTGCAAAGCAATGTGCTCATTTTCATTTATATTAGGAAACCACTGGCTCAACTTGACTTCATTGTCAGCATCAAAAATCTGCTGAAGCAGATGAGACACACAACTTTATAAGGATGTTTACTTTGTTTTAGATTCTTTCACAGTTTATTGTTTCTTTAATTGGCTCTCCAGCTTCATGTCCGAGCCTAACTACATATTTAACATTCAGATCCTACTGTTTGTGCTCAGGAGAGTACATATCTTTAAACTGTTGCATCTGGATGTAGCAGAGGTTCCAGAACCAATGATTGTCTTCCATTTTTTTATTTGTGCTTCAGTATCAGAGCAATGCTGAATAACGTAAGACAGTGAGTTTTACTCTCTTCCTTTGCTCTGCAGAAAAGGACTGCCAGTCCATGCAAATGGGATTGGGAATTATTTTTATTTTTTCTTAAATAAAGGCAAAGCTTATATCTAATTATTTCCTTCCTATGCAGTTGTGAGCAGCCATACCATCATAAATGGTTTTAGAGCTCTTTGAAGACTCTTGTGGCACACGTCTTGCAGACTTTAGAGGTAGAAAATATAGTTCTAGCTTTCATTTCAGAAACAGCCTCAAAGTTAAATTTGGTTCCTCCCAAATTGACTTCTGATAAACTGGAGCAGGGCTTTGAAAGCAACACAGTCCCTTGTATGCTATATGGCAAATAGCCACAAAAATTAATGCTGTCGCAGGAAACAAAACCTCCCCTTTCACTGCTTTTGCAGAACAAAGAGCAAGCATAAAAAATAGTAGTAGCTAGAGTGGCCTGCTAGGTTATAGGATGGGTGGGGTTTGAAAAAGGGTCCCCTTGCCAAGATTCAAGAGAAATTCCCTTTAATTCTGATGGCTTTCAGCTAGAAATACTCATTTCACCTCCTGTACTATCTGTTGCAGCTGTTTCTGCAGAGAATGCAAAAGAAAATGATGGGAGAAATAAATGGGGGTATAGAGGAGGTCTGAATTCATCCTTTGTAAGATTTCACATGAAAAAATAGATCTGTTCTGGGGCGTGATTATACTCAATTATGCTCTGTGCACTTCACTGTTCTGTTAGTTTCTGTCCGTTTGTTTGCTTTGGTTTTGCACAGTAGTTCGGAGAGGGAGAAAACATCAGCTCCACACTAATTGCACTTCCTCTGACACCAGCAATGAGAATTTTTTTCCAACATCTCCCTGAAATCTTACCAGGTGTTGCCTGAATGGAATAAAATTAGTTGAATTCTTTTGCTATAGCTTTTACTTTAGCTATGACACTGTTAAGATTCAAAAGACCCACTTTATTTATTTCAAGGGCCATTTACACCTCTTTGGCAAAGAAACTGCAGTGTGATAAAAATGTATCATCCCGTCACATAGTGTAAATGTGAACAGGAATCAGACCCACAGAATCTTCATGAAATAATAAAATAAAAATTCATGTAATAACAAAACTGTTTCTGGACATAACACTAAAATATTTGTATATTTATATAAATAGTCTCTGAAGACTTTCACAATATCATACAACATATTACTATACAAGACATCAGCTTAAAACCATTTTATTTCCTTGCAAAATCTCCTGGTATTTTATCAGTTAAATTGCCTTCCTTTTGTTTATCTCAACAATTTGCTTATTGGCTTCCTGATTCCTTTTTTTCCTTTGGCTTTAACTTAAGTGAAAAGATTAGTTAAAAAGTAAAAGGACTATTTAAGATCTAAGTGAAAAGGTTAAAAATAATTGTCCCTTATTAAATACATATTAATTCAGCAAAAAAACTTAAATAGAGGAACAGCTTCAGTGAGACTTAAATTTTTAAGTTATGCTTAAAGCTAAACATAGACTTGTGGGTTTTTTTGCAGAACAGGTCTGAACACAAGTACCTTTTAAAGCACTTTCTTGAATAATTGTCTTAAATATGTGCCTAAATCCTATTTACTTCACTGACATTCAAGCATATTGCTTTATGTGTACACCTAAGCGCCTTATTAGGATTCTTCTCTGAACTAAGGCTGAAGTAGAGATGGGAATGTTTTGAACTTTTCAGAAAAAAAGTTGGTGAAATGCAAAGGAATTCTACAGCAATTCTGTCCTAGCTGGTAATGTAGCCCAGGGTGTATTAAAAAAGAGTTCTAAGAAGTAACATTGGAAGATAAATTTGATCTGTAATAAGAACTTTGGCCTAGGGCGCATTTTGTTTTACAGAGATACAGTTAGGAATGTGTCAGGAACTGCCATGATGAACGTCCTACTGAATGATGGATTTATATGAAATCTAGCTTTGAGAATGGCCATCATCCAGTCCAGCAACAGTTCCTTCCTAGGGACAAAAGGAAATTCACTCCTAAGAGTCTGTCCCATTCAGTAGATACGGAGAAAGAAATCCTTTCTATTTAGAAGCTTGTGTGGTTTTTAACATTCAATAGATAACAGAGATGGATAGATTCCTACTGACTTCAGTCATTACTGGCTTAATATCATGAGCCTACTGAAGAGTCAGTAGTCGAATACTCCCACATTTTTAAATCCAGGAGCACCCACATGGGACTGCTACTAGCTTCTGGGTATTTATGTCAATAGAAAAGATTTTTCTGACCAAAATAATATTGCAAAGATCAGTCGCTGAGATTTGCATAGTTCTTGTTTCCTTGAAACACTGTTGTTAATAATGTTACAAATATGTATGCTTGTGTATGTGTGTGCATATATGGCTTGTGTGAGATGTGTATATATAAATATAGAGAGAGACTCTCAGGTTCCATTTTTGTGTCACAGATTATTTCTAAGCATCTTGGATGGATATAGGAGACCTCAAGCAATAGCAGGATTTAATGGTTCAAGTTTTGTTCAAATACTGCTTACAGCAAATCTGACAAACTATGCTTTTAAAATGTTCTTAGTGATAGTCCCTTATAAGGATTTTTCTCAAGGCTGTGATGGTACATGTGCTGTGTCAGTTTCTACTGCAAAAGAGTAGGATAAAATAGTATATCGAGCTTCTGAATGAACCAGTCAAGTTCAGAAAATGAACAGAATGGCACCTTAGTCTAATGTAATTGCTCCCTGTAAATACTCAGAAAGCAAAATCTGATTCAGTGGCAAGCAGCTTGAAGAAAGACTTTTATGGCTTGATATGCCAAAACCCGAGTTTAAGAGGTTAGAATAATAACTAATAATATCTGATACTACTGGAAATATTTGTATGTGTGTAAGCAGTGCACTTATCCAGCCTGGAGTTGGGATCAAACTGCAGCACAGAGATATTTCTGTGCAGATGGATCTGCTAGTTAGAGAGGCAGAATCCTAAACTCAGGATTCTAACTATTCTGCCACTTCTAGAGGCAGAGTCTTGAGAGTTCTCCATTCATGTTCCACCATCCACAGTAGAAAAGCTTGTACTGTAGTAATACGAATATTTCATGTACGTGTTCATAGGTTTTAAAGCATTTCTGTTCACCTGGCAACAAGCAAGTATAACATAGGCATTTCAATAACATGTCATATCCACGCTGCTGTCCTTGAATAAGGATCACAGCTTTAAACTGATGTGCTTCTGTTCCGTTTTATACAGTCTGATTGGAATTTCCTTTCTAAGCAAACACTCCAAAGCATGTTTTATTACACTTCTTTTAAAACATTTCAAATTTAAATGACATCAAAAAGAAAACATTTATTGCTCTAATACATAATAGCAAGTGGATATTATTATTTTTTGTAAAGTATTTTAAAAACCCAAGAATTAAAATAGTTTATTACAGAGACTTTAGTATGTGATTATACAATGTTTTAATCTATATTCATTTTATACACAAAATAAAGTTCATGAAACAATAAGCAGCAAATTCTGCTATGTATATGTGTATTAGCTACAATCAGCAGCCTGATCCAGAAGACGCTGAGCACCCTCAACACATTGACTTCAGTCAGTGTTAGAAGATGGTCAGCGGCTTCTAGGATGGGGCCCAAATGATGCACTGGAAGAAGTATGTAATAGCAATGACAATATTTTAATGGATATTTTCTTATGGAATCACTAAGAAAATGTATTTTTAATAGTCATTGGTAAGCACCAGCTCACAACACTGCATGTGGCTGCATCACTTGCACATTACATTTCCTGACACACTGCATGTACAATACATCTAGAATTCTCAGCACAGAGAGAACTGAGAGAGTTGTTACGTAGCACTTACAAATTACCACAGGGAAAGCGTAGTTTTTAGTAGCATTTTCAACAGTGAAGTTGCAATATAGTTTTAATGACTATGTTCCTTATGCAAAGGAAAAATGAAAAGTAGTCAGTGGCATACTTCCTGAAATTTTAATACTGGCTTTCAGATGTTAACAATCTAAAGTGCTTTCATGTTCCATACATTTTTAAAAATTTTCAATTTATACAAAAAATCAAAATATTTATAAATTTATTCTATACACTTGTGAATGTACAACTTAGTCTATTCCTGTTTCCTCACCCAAAAAATTGGCATTGCCATCTCCCAAATCTCTCTTTTGAAACCAAGTCTGTGAGTTTGTTCCTTGAATATAAGCATCCAGAAAATAGCAAATTCCAGGGATATCACTGGGAAAATTTGGTGGAAGTTCTTCTCTTGAGCGAGGTGTGAACACAAAACCTGGATATTCCTTTAACAACCTAGAACAAAGATGGATCATCTTGATTAAAAATTAACAAGTCACTAACGGTTACTACAAGTACAGGCATTCAAGAATTCTTCATGTGCGGCATGGCAGAATATAGCAGGGCAGAATCTAATTTAATATTTATTTATTTGTTATTTCCTGAAACTAATAAGAATTTGGTAACCTTGATAACCTAAATTTATATGTTCTTTGCTGAAAATATAAAAAAAAATAGTTTATTTGGTAACCTTGATAACCTATTAACTTGTGCACCAGTGCAAACAGGAGTATTGCCTCTCTTTTTTTGTCTTGTCAAATGTTTTTTTTGCAGGTAGGTGCTATGTTTGTTGTAAATATTTTCAAAAATTATTTAGTACTGGAAGCTAGCTCAGATTTGCACATGAAACTGTCACCATAATTAATGTTTCAACTAAGGAAATACTGAAAGCTTATTAACTAAACTATTCAGATCCTCTTACCAATCCTAATAATTTTGCTTTTTCACACTTGGGTCCACTGAACCCAGTGGTCTTCTATATCTGAAACACAGATTGCTAATCTGTAGGGATAAATACTGATGACTGGTATCTAAATTTCTAAACAATTACTGCAATATACAGCAGATGTGCAAGGTCCCAAAATGGTATCAATATATGTTTAGAATTGGTGTATGAATCAAAAAGAAAAAAAAAACTAAACAAAAGGGAGGGTAACACATCATTCACTCAGGGGGAAAAACCAAACATACTGCACCAATAATAACAATAGTTTACCTTTTAACCAAATGGTCTATTTTCTAGGCACTCAGAGAATTAATTCTCTTTTTTTTTCAACAGTACACTCATTTCAAATATTCTCTTGAGATGAATACACAGCCATGCAGAAACATACTTATGCCACAAGTTATAGGCAAGTCTTGGCTGGAGGAAGTGTCTAATGGTTTTCAGAAAAGACTGTAGCCAGTATCATTCAAAATGATTTTCCATATGGACATGGAAAAAAAATCCCTGTTGGCCAGCACTGTTCTTCTGACATAATATATAAGCACTGGCGATGCTATCTCTGTATTTGTTTAGAGTGCATGATGGAAAAGGTTACTTACTGTGTGTCCTAATACCTGTGCTACTTTTCTCTAAATTACCTATACAAGATAATCTAAAGCTTGGCACCCTGTAAGTCACATAGCACATGCTGCAGGGGATGTCAGGGTCCTGTGCCAAATTCCCTGTCTGACGTTGGCCACAGAACCTTGCCACAAGGCATTATCACATACACGGCAGTGGGTACAAGCTAAGTAGGAACAACTGACTGTCCAGGCTACATACAGTGAGGGCAGAAGAGCTTCCTTAAAAGGAAAAAAAACCCAAACAATTTATATCCATATTTCTGGTTATTTTACCCAGCCAGCAATATCACTTTCTACTAGTAGATCCACCCTCTACAGTTCATTCTTATAAAACTTTTGGCCACTCTGGAAGAAACAATAGTCTGTATCAGCTCAGCAGCATAAAATTCAGACCTGGAGTTCAGATGTAGACTGCTGTTACCATCAAAATCAAAAGAGTTTCCTATTATTCTGCCTGGCACCTATAAGACACTATTACTTGTCCATGAACATGTTGCAAGGTGATTTTTACGTACAATTAAACAGAAGACACTATTAGGTTCAGAGGACATAGGAATGATGCTGTATTTCCCATGGGAGAGCCTGCTAGCTGTCTGCATAATCACGTAGAACACTTTACTAAAAATGTCTGATCTGAGTGGATAAATAGTACAGCCTAAGTTCCATACTAAAAGGTTTAAACTGAGTTGGGATCAAGACCTCTATAAACTAAACACTGGCGTGGTTGATTCATTGCAATCTATTCACTGGTCTTCCCTAACCAAAAGAGAATGAAGATCTGTAGGGTGAAGTTTAATAATTCTTCAGTTAGGCTGTTATTTTCAAGGACACCTGCAGCCAGTTTGGCATCGAGTTCACACTGAAAGCCACATAACTCAAAGAGGAGCCAACTATATGAGAGAAGGAAAAAAAAAAAAAAAAAAGCCAAGAGGTATACAGCTGCAGGGTAAGAAGCAAAACTGGCCAAGACAGTCCTATTTATTTTAAATGTAACGACTGAAAAATAAATATCAGCTGTTCTGTTTCACCCTTTTTCTTGCTGCTGCTGGCTGCATTCTGACTAAAAATAACCCTGGTGCATTCATGAGCAGTCAGATAAAAAGAGAAGAACGAAAATAAACAGCAGTACTTCAGAGGGAAAAAAAAAACAACGGGAAGACAATGAACTATTACAGTAACTACTTCAGGTGGACATTTTACAGATATGAAGCACTGTACCTGTAAGTTGTTGGGCTGACATTTATTTTTCTAGGTATACTGCAAGATTCAAACTTATTGGCAAGGGTTACGTTATTTCCAAAAAGGCAGTAACGAGGCATTTTAACCCCAACGACTCCAGCAAAGACAGATCCAGAATGAAGGCCAATACGCATCTTTAAATAAAAGACAGAAAACAGCATAACTAAGTAAAATAAAATGGTTAAAGTAAAGTAAAATCATTAAATTCTTCCTCTATTACAAAAAAAATCGTGGGCTACTAATATAAATTGAGTTAGCACAGTCTCCTTAAAATGCCTGCATTCTGGTCATCACTGTTCACGGAGAGAAAACCAGCTGAAATTTGCCTTGCTTTGCATTTGTAGTAAGTAATCCTTCATCTGATATGACTCTGATAATGCTGGTCTCTGTGGCAGTAAATTGATCTAGAAACATCAGCAGGAGTTACTATGACACTTGGATACTTTCCTGGGAGGAATTACATGAGACAATGATGTTAGACTGGTGACAGTTAATGAATAGTACTTCCTTTGCTGTGAAGGTCAGAAGACAAGTCTTAAGGAAGAGCAAAGACAGGATCTAAATGCTGTGGTTCCAACTGAACTCTAGTTGAGATAGAGTGAACGAGGTCACACATAGAGTAAATCCCAATCCCAGAGGACAGAATTTTGACATTTAATCAAATTATACAGGAATTTAAACATTTTGAAACCTTTTCTTTGTAACTCATACTCAGATTTTTGAGTTTTGCTTAGCTGGTGCTGCTTTCTTTTTTTTTTCTTTTTTTCTTTTTTTTTTGGATGTGTTCTTAAGTGCATTACACATACGTAGACGTGTTTTCTTCAGAAGAGCACTCTGACACGTGATGGCATGATGTTGGAAAGCTTGAGTATCTACTATGTGTGCTACTCTTTACATATCAAGACAATATATCATTATGAAGAAGTCACAATTTCTAATTTTGAGTGGAAAAGCAGAAAAGCCTGCAACAAAAGTAAAATCCACACACCCAGCAAAGATGGCTGAAATCTGTACCTCGATATACAAGTCTGATTTAAAGTAAGCAGTTTGCAGTCATGCCTTTTTCTTTCACAATTCATATATAAAATGACAGTAGACTGTGTGACATATTTGTTGCTTTGCAAAACAGCCAATGCTTTCACGAAGCATTTCATTAAAATAGATGCATGCTTTCATTAAAAATAGAAATATTCAGTTTTCTTCTAAGAATCTCCTAGTAGGTACTTACACAATATTTTTTTTTTCTATTTTAAAATTATTTTTAAAGTGTAATAGCATTCCTCATTCAAAATTATAGAGGTAACATTTACATGGAAATTATAAACATGTTATAATACTGTCAAGGTGTTTCCAGATTTTTAAGCATAATTTAATTTGATACTGTGAAATACAAAAAGAATGACATTTATTTATGATACTGCTGTTCTCTGTATAAATGTGGAGCATGCAATCCTCTTAATAACCATTTTCTTTGTCTTGGAATACGAATATTCCTTAATCTAAAATCAAAGAAGCCTGAAGTTTTCTAAAGGAACAAATGAACAAATAAATATTTAAAATGAGCAAATGAAAGACATAATGAACTGAGACACTTGTATTAAAAATAATAGGACCCCATTCCAGGACATTCGAACTTAGTAGAAAGTCCACATCATTTGTCATGCACCCAGGTCTTTCTCTTTTTTTCATCAGTGAGAGGTGAACCTACATGAAAAGTTCAGTACATACATAAGTCCTCATTGAAAGGAAGCCATAAATATAATGACCTCTGAATCTAACAGTTGCTCTGACAGCATTAACACCATTATCTTATGGCTGTGGTTCAGTAGCTGACTAAAGCACAGCAATAGAATCCTTTAAAGAGATGTGTGGATTACTGCAATCAGAGCATGTCTTTGATGATTCATATCTATACCTATTGCCTCAAAATACTTAGATGTTCTCATTGGATCTAATTTTGAGAGGGGATTAGTCTCCTCATTAGAAAACAGAAACAGAATATTCCATGCCACTAACAAATTTATTGCTACTGAGACAAAAACTGCAGCATGTCAGTGTGCACCTATTGATTTCACTGCATTTAAGTCTTTTGGGTTGATTTTCAGATCTCTGTTTCATCATTACCTCTCCACAAAACTCTCATTCATAGAAGTAAAGAGGTTAGCCTCTCCAGCCATACACACTTGATTCCCCAACTTATCTGTGCTAAGGCAATGATGTGAAATTTCCTTGAGACAAAAACCCCAAAGGCAATTAGACAAACAAAAATGCCCACTTTAACCATACGAATACAATAAAATATATGACCTTGATAGGCTCTCCATGGGGAGACACCACCTCATCTGACAGCTCCATCATCTTCAGGGCCATCAGTGCTATTTGAACAGCATGTGTTTCACTTTCTTTGTGTAAACCTCCAGCGACACAGTAGGCATCTCCAATAGTCTCAACCTAAAACAGGCATATTTGTTCCTTAGTGTTACACTGTTTGACATACAGAATAGTCTGTGGCTTCAGTAAGAATTCTACCTGCATATTGACTGAGTCTTATTTGTCCTGCTAAATTATTTAAGTCCTGGGCAGATCCTGTAGTACCATTCAAAAGGAAAAATTACACAACCTGTATTTATTGCTGGGCATGATGCTAAAAAACTTTTCCTTGCCTACCTGCTGTCAGGCACCCATAGCTACATTAAACACCTATTTACTCCAGATCACATCACTGGAATTGAAATTAATTTTTAAAATTAACTCTTAAGTTTTGATGGGTTTCTCTCTTGGCTGCATGAATGGCTGATTCTGTTGATTTTTTTGTTGTTGTTGTTTGCTTTGTGATTTATCTTAACATGTCTTTCTTATAATGAAGCTTTAGGTCAAAATAATTTTTGGACTTCTGTTAATCTCTGTCCTATTTAGTCTTCATTTCCTTTCCTGCCCCAGAACCCCACAGAAATGCAGTAAATTGTGTACCTTGTAGACATCTAGCTCTCCACACTGGTAATCAAAGCGAGTGTAAAGCTCATTAAGCATGGTGATAACCTGCATAGGTGAGCACTGGGAACAGATGGCAGTGAATCCAACAATGTCAGAGAAAAGCATTGTGACATTATTAAATTTCTTGGCTTGCACAACTTGTCCCTGCCACAGCTGCTGAGCAACTTCTCCAGGAAAAATTGAAAACAGAAGATCTACTGTCTTCTTCTTTTCTTCTTCAAGGGCTTGATGGGCCTGCTCAAGGGTTGCTTTTAGCTTTCCTAACCTCTTCTTCAGTCCATCCTGAGCTCTGGCCTGCTCTCCTATCAGAACAACATCTCTCAAGGCATTGTGAATTGGAATATCTGAGAGGTACAATCCACGTCCTGTGAAATCTTCCAGTCTATCCACACAAGGAGATCCCAAGAATAGGATGGCACTGGATTCAAAAATATAGATCATTTGGCCTTTAAGATCCATTACCTGAAACAGTTGAAGAAACAAGAATTCATGCAAAAAATGCAAGGCAATGATTTAGAAGCAAGAAGAATTAGATTAAATACATCTTGCTGAAACGTAGGAAAATCAGACTGGTCCATAGTCCTTACAATGTCATTTAATTGCTAAAGGGAAAACGTGGGGTGCTAAATCATAGAGCTATCAAATAAATTTATTTTGCTTGAGCCTTCTGGTGCAGAAGTTAGACCACAACTTAAGGATAAACCCCTAATTATGTAATTATGTTTGGGTGTCAGTATCAGTTTTAGTTTAGGAAGAAAAAAAAAAAAAAACCAAAAGAAGAATTTTGTGCATTTTCATCTATTGATAAAATGTTACTGACTATAGTGGCCTATTAATTTCTGCTAATAACTCCAGTGTTTGGTTCATGCACCAGTTTCTTTGTAAGATAAAGTGAGAAAATCTGCTTCAATTTTATCATAGGATGTTCAATACTCACTGCAATTTAAAATTAAAGGCGTAAATGCCAGAAATATCCCATTTTAATGTTCTAAAAAAACCAAAATATGTGTGGAAGTCTTTTTATGTCCCTTCCGCATTCAATTGTGTAATGTGCATGGTGCTGCAGAGCTCTGTTTAACATTGCTTTGAAAGACTATTGTTTGGAGAAAACCTGTTACTTGGTAATAGACATTTGCATATATAAGTACATGCAAAAGCAAAGCAGAGTCTACTACCCCTTGTAATCATTAAACTGTTGCTTAGTGCAGAAATGGATGTGAGATGAAGTATCTAATCTAAGCTACATCTGAGATGAAGTATCTCCCACTTCATTAATAACTGGGTGAAATCTTTTACTCCCTTTCTTAAGTTCTTGGAGTGTTGAGTCTGAACTGGTAATTTATCCTGGAGTGCCTCAGGTATATATAAGCTGAAATTCAGCTGGGGCCAGTGATGAATAAAAGCAGTCATTGAATATGCAATGCTTTTTACTGTCCCAGGTCATGTGCCACAGACCAAGCTTCAGCCAAGATAGTAAGTAATCCCATCACTTGAAACTAAGTGGGACCTTTGGCGACTGCATCTGATGAAGGCATCAGAATATCAAAGATATCAAAATACCAAAGATACCAAAGGCTAAATGAACACAGGAAATTTCTACTTCTTTCCCCAAATCTTTTCCCCAGCTGTGTTTCCAGATGATTGAGGGGCACTTTGGTAAAGCTTTCCCTGCCATTGTCTTTGTGTTGGAGATGCCCTTATTCTCAGCAGCATGGCATGTCATTGGCTTTATCTCAATGTACTGAGTTTATCTCAATATTTCAAATTATTTTTTTTTATAAAATCAAGTTAGCAGTCAAATTTTACTCATGTAAAAGTCCTAAAGCAGAATTTTGACTGAATATTAACTTTAGAATCTGAATTACATTAGAGTGCCCTTAATAAATCATTATTATTCAGTTGTATTAGATGTTGAGAGGTAGACAATGCAAAGTGCACCATGTTTTGTGGCTATTTTAACACTATCTGAAGAAACCAAATTCCTCACAGAAGTAATGGTTATAAAAAATCTCTTACCATGGATGATTTCATATCAGTATTATCCCATCTTCTGACTCGTACAGTAAACTGCATATTTAGCATTGTCATTATTCCACTGAAAGTGCAGCTTACTTTGGGGGTAAGAATTTCAAAATACTCTTCAAAATTGGGCTTAGCTTGAAATTCTCTCCTGGTCAAAAGTCTTCTTATCCCATTTCCAATTTGAAGAACTGACATATCCTTGTCAAACATAAAATGAAATGGGAAAGTCTTACAGAACATAGAGGCAGGAATCACAAGAGAAGACTGTGGTTTACATGGAGATAAGGAAGGTTTTGCACTTTTGACTTGTATAGAGTACAGCAAATAAGGCTGATTAGCAAACTCAGTGCAGTCATTATGGAAACAAGGAGGCATGAGCATCACTTCCACCTCGGTTTCATACAAAATATGAGCTGCTGCTTTAATAATACCAGATAGAATAAGACTCGTGATTTTCTTAGGAAAGAAATAATACACATTTAAGAAGTCCTGATCTTTCTCCAGGCATAATATGGAAGCATCTTCAAGTCTGTCCTTTTTTCCTGCTTCTTGGTTGTGGCCACTCTGCTTCAGCAGAGTAGTGAAACTGTTCAAGAAGTCCTTAAGAGTTCCCCCAATAACCCCTAATATGTGTTCATCCTCTTCATAGCATATTTTGAATAGCTCTTCACCAAGAGATTCCCGTAGAGTCTCCACAGGAACACCTGCATGGAACCACATTTTAGTCAGAACTGCACTCATCACGCTGAATCTCAGGCTTTTTTTTCATCCTAGACCAAATCAAATTAGCAATATCCTTCCCTGATCCAGCACTGACACCTGAGGGCCTTCTCATTTAGGAGTCCTGCTGTAACCAGAGACGTACTCATGTGCCTGGAAAACAGGGAGACAATAGCTTGTAGTTTGGAAAGATCCAAGACTCAGTGTTCTTTGTAGAGATGTAGACAGAATGATTGCCCATTTTGGCACAGGATTTAACCCAATCCCCTTACTCAATATAAAGAAATAAAATAAGAATTTAAAAACTTAAAATAAGAATACAAAGTAAGAATAAGATAGGATCTGTGCACACATGCAGATACAAGTACTATGCCTGATCCAATAAATTAAATGAGCCTAGGAATATTCCAGAGCACTGAGGCCAATTGGCACAGAACAGCTCACATCTTTGCTAGTAAATTTGTTTTAACAGGGTAGCTGCATGCAGACTGACTGTTGGGAATGTTCCAACTCCCCAACAGTTACTGGGAATCATTTGGAAAAGTGTTATTTGTCACAGGCCAACTGTGTGCCAGGACCAGTTTAACAGTTTAAGTGTACAGAAGACCATGTTTCAGTTCCTGGAAATGTTAATGTATTATTAAAGATGTAGCCAGAGAGGTCCATATTGCAAATTACAACAGTTCTCTTCCATCAGACTACAGTCCTTCAGAAGATGAAAAGGATCAAACAGTCTTTCATGAGTATAAAACTGTAACTTATTACTGAATGTACATTGCAACTGCCTTTAGATGTTGGTTCTTAGGGGTGGATGATCCTATGGCAGCTCAGACTTGAGAAACTAGTCTCTAGCTCAGATTTTGACACTCTGAACTGTTAGTGGCAGAGATCACAGTTTAGCCTCTCTGTTGTCAGCATCACTGCAGCCCTTACATGGAGGAAGTTATTTCTTAGTAACAAGACTAATTTATATATAGATATATTATTTTAT